AAGAGCTGGTTGGCCTAGGGGACCCCACTGGGACAACTTCCTTCCACTTCACATGGTCTCATCCTCCAACAAGCTGGCTGAGCTGCTTCAAGGGAAGTAACACATTCCAAGAGGCTAAGGGCTGAGGGTACAAACTACAAGGCATCTTGAGGCCTGGCCCAGAAGAATATGACTTCTCCTCCATTCTTCTGGTCAAAGCAAGTCACAAGGTTAGCCTAGATTCAAGAGGTGAGGAAACAGACTCTACTTCTTGCTAAGAGTAGCTGCAAAGCATTTGTGGCCATTTTTAATCTACAGCAGCTACATTCTCACAAATAAAAATAATACAACAGAGCTGTTAGGAAATAGCCAAATATAGCATAATATAACATAATATGCAAGAAGATAATTTCCTGAGAGCCTTTCCCTCTCTTGCAAATATATGTAATATATCTCATATATATTACATATATATGAGACAAGGTCTCACTGTGTCACCCAGGCTGCAGTGTAAGTGGTGCAATCACAGCTCACTGCAGCCTCAACTTCCCAGGCTCAAGTTATCCTCCCACCTCAGCCTCCTGAGTAGCTGGACTACAGGCATGCCCAGCTAATTTTTGTATTTTTTGCAGATACAGGGTTTCACAGTGTTGCCCAGGTTGATCTCAAACTCCTGGGCTCAAGTGATCCACCTGCCTCAGCCTCTCAAAGTGCTGGGATTACAGGCATGAGCCAGCATGCCCATCTTATATTCAAAATATTTTTATTATATTTAAAAGCCTTCCCATGGTTCAGGGGCTTTACAAAAAGCTAGAGCAAAAACTTGGGCTCTCTTTTTTTGACCTGAACTTCAAAACACATCATTTGTTACTGCATTAGATTTTCATTAGTTAATATCTCATGAAACCAATTGCTATTAACCTAAAAGTTCATTTTGTGGACTCTTCAGCCTCTTTCTTGCTGTCCATCTTCAAGGCAGTTTTTTCTTGGGATCATCACTAGAAGTGCTAGTAAAATTACCTGACTCCCCACACAATCGAAACAGGAATTGATGGGGAAGGGGAAAGAGGGAGAAAAAACAAAAGTATAATTCAGCAAACTGAAAGACAATGGTCAAGTTCTCTTTTGTCTAAAGGGTTCCTACTTTAAAAAGCCAGATCTCATATATTAATGGCAAAGGATATGAATAGTCATAATTACAGCTGTTATTTATTGAGTGCCTACTTTAGGCAAGTCACTGGTCACATACCTGCTCTCCTTTAGTTCTGTGGCAGTCTTGGGTAACCATTCTACAAATGGGGAAACTGAGGCTCAGAATTTAAGCAATTTGCCTATGGTCACAATGTCAGAGCTGCAGGATTCAAATCTAAGAAAATACTACTAGTAAACAATGTGGAAAAAGATCCTACATAAGAAAGAAATCCAAGTTAAAACATTATTTGAAGTATCATTTATTACCTACCAAATTGCATATTTTTTAATGGTAATGGCCAGTGGGTGGCAGGGGGCCAGTGAAACTGGTCCTTGTATTGTAGGTAGCATTATAGATGGGTATAATCCTTTTGTGAAGCAATGTGAAAGTACATAAACAAGAGCCACAGAAATGATCATGCCCTGTCTTAGTCTATTTTCTGTTGTATATAACAGAATACCTGAAACTGGGTAATTTATAAGAACAAAATCTGTTTAGTAATATTACAGTTCTGGAGGCTGGGAAGTCCAAGGTCAAGGTGGAGCATCTGGTGGAGAACCTTCTTGCTGGCAAGGACTCTCTGCAGAGTTCCAAGGCAATGCAGGACATCACATGGCAAGGGAGCTAGGCATGTTAACAGGCTAGTTCAGGTCTTTCTTCTTCTTCTTATAAAGCCACCAGCCCCACTCCCATGATAACACGTTAATCCAGTGATGAGAGCAGAGCCTTCATGACCCGATCTCCTCTTCAGCACCCTACCTCTCAATACTGTCACATCAAGGATTAACTTTCAACATGAGTTTTGGAGAGGACAAACATTCAAACTATAGCATACAAGTCCACTTTCTGAAATCTATCCTAAGGGAAACAGTCCAAAACTTGGAAAAAACTATATTTATGAACACAGTCATCAAAATGTTATTTAAATAGTAAAAACTTGAAAACAATTGACATGACCAGAAATATGTGAATGATAAACTAAACCACATCTATTAAACCATTTTATAATAATTAAAGATTGTAAATATGAAGACTGTCAAGTAGTATGAGAATGCACTGGGGAAAACAAAAAAGCAAGATGCAAGCTGGGTTTGGTGGTGCACAGCTATGGTCCCAGCCACTTGGGAGGCTATGGCAAGAGGACAGCTTGAGTCCAGGAGTTCCAGGCCAGCCTGGGAAACATGGTGAAACCCAACTCTTTAAAGAAAAAAGAAAAAAAAAAGGCCAGGCATGGTGGCTCATGCCCGTAATCCCAGCGCTTTGGGAGGCCAAGGTGGGTGGGTAGATCACTCAAGGTCAGCAGTTTGAGACCAGCCTGACCAACATAGTGAAACCGCGTCTCTACTAAAAATACAAAAATTAGCTGGGCGTGGTGGCAGGTGCCTGTAATCCCAGCTACTTGGGAGGCTGAGGCGGGAGAACTACTTGAACCTAGGAGGTAGAGGTTGCAGTGAGCCTAGATCATGGCACTGCACTCCAGCCTGGGCAACAAAGCAAGACTGTCTCAAAAAAAAAAAAAAAAAAAAAAAGCAGGATGCAACCTAAATGTAATTACTATATTTACAAATCCATTAATGGGAGGTAGGAATGGGGAGCTAGCAAGAAATATTATAGAACATTAAAAGTAGTTACGTTAAGGTGATAAATTTATGATTGCTTTCCTTTGCTATTATTGCTATTTTTTGGCAATGTGCTTATATTATTGTTAAAATGTAAGATAATTTCATTTAAAAATAAACCAAAACATTTTTTTTTTCCAGAGAATCAAAGGTAGTTGTGTTGAAAGTAACATAATCTGCCTAGTGATGCTGGGACCAGGTCCTTATATCTGGGAGTTAAAAATGTAGCAAAGTTATTTCCATCTCCAGTTCCCAGCCCTTAATCCATAAATCCCAACGATATCACCTCAGTCATTGAACAACTTGAGCTTCTGATCTACAGGAACTGTCAGGCTCCTTTTCAGCTCTCCTAGTATCAAACCAAACCTACCACTCTGAACGCCACCTTCCCTAGACTTTTCCATCACCTCACTGTCCTTCCTTTCCTTTACAATTCTGAGGGCTTTTTTTTTTTTTTTTTTTTCCTGTCATCAGATCCTCAGAGATCAACCTAGTATGGCAGGAATGTCTGAAGGCATTTTTGTGAGAGTCAGTCGTAATGTTTAACCTTGGTCCTGAGCATGTTCTGGAAACAAAGCATGTTTAGACAATGACAACATCTCTTTTTCCCAAACTTAAAAAGTGTGTATTTCAAACTGAAATGCTTTTCTGGATAATTCTTTTAACTTTATGTTAAAACAAGAGCCAAGCCTCATGGCCTATGTTTTTTAGACTATTCAAACATTTAAAATAAGAAATTGAATCCAGTTGGAAAAAATTCCACTGGAAAGAGTAATCTAGTTGATTCTGCAGCTGGGCTTAGTTCAGCTATAAATTCAAAAGCTAGTCCTGGAGTAAGTGAAATAATTTAAGTAGTATAGTTGAATTACCTCTGTAGGACATCTGGGCAAAACTGTGAGATGTTAGAACCCTTGGCAGGATATTTCAGAGTGGGACTTGTGTAGTCTCTGCGGCTTCTGCTTTTCTTCCTCCCCTTGCTTCCAAATATATGTCTCACCTACTTGTTCCTTTCCAGAACCGGGTTACTCCATCTTTTTTACATCCAAGCCATCAGTGATGTCCAGGTCCTTTCTCATAGTAATACAATCCTGTCTGCAGATTAACTTCAGAGGATATATATTTTGTAGTTTTTTTTTAACATGTAATGTTGTTAAACATATGTTTTCAAATTGATGATGCCTTAGAGAGGATTTTAAATTTAAAGCCAAATCCCATCTCTATAGCATTTCATAAGTTGCTCATATTGGTGTGACAGGTATTACCAAAACTTTTGATGAAGTTTCCTATCCAAACCAGAGGCCTCTTAAATGAAAATAACAGCAAGATCACAACTTTCTTTCTGGTGGGAATCGGGCACAGGGTCTCGCTTTGTTACGGAGGCAGTGTTACCTAGTGTAGTGGCATGATCTTGGCTCACTGCACCTTTGAGGCTTAAGCCATCCCCCCACCTCAGCCTCCCAAGTAGCTGGGACTACAGGTGCGAGCTACCATTGGTGCCCAGCTAATTTTTGTATTTTTGGGAGTTTCACCATGTGGTCTCGAACTGGGCTCAAGCAGTCTGCCTGCCTCAGTCTACCAAAGTGCTGGGATTACATGCATGAGCCACTGTGCCTTGCTAAGATCACAATTTCTATTTGTGCTAGCTGAGGCAGATATTTTAGTGTTCTGACCTTATTTAGAAACAGTTACTAACAACTCACTTGAATTGCAGGCCCATCATGTGACAAGCTGGGTAAAAGAATTTGCAAGTGTTCTGATTTTGTTATTCTATTTGTTTTAAATTGAATGTTTGTCCTCCAGAAATTCTTATGTTGAAACCCCAACTTCCACTGCAACAGTAATACAAAGTGGGGCCTCTGGGAGTAAGTAGGTTTAGAAGAGATAGTAAGGGTAGAGCTCCCATGATGGGATTATGACTGTATCAGAAGAGAAGACTAGAGCTGTCTCCCTTTCTCTCTGCCATGTGAGAAGAGAGCAAGAATGCAGGCATCTGCAAATAAGGAGGGACTTCCCAAGACACCAGTTGAAGGTACCTCTATCTTTATCTTGATCTTAGACTTCCCAACCTCTAGAACTGTGAGAAATACATGTTTGATGTTTAAGCCACACAGTCTGTGGTAGTTTATTATAGTGGCCCAGAGTGACTAAGGCACTGTTCTTCCCTGAGATGGTGTTTGAATAACCAGTACTTACTTTGGCTCTGTGTTCAGATTACTGACTCAGCGATGGAGATATTATCAGCAAAATGTCATTACCTGCACATTTTGGATATCTCTGGTTGTGTCTTGCTTACTGACCAAATCCTTGAGGACCTTCAGATAGGCTGCAAACAACTCCGGATCCTTAAGATGCAATACTGCACAAATATTTCCAAGTAAGTATGTACCTGACTATGATAAACTTTGAGACTACTTTCTGAGAAAATATAGTATAAGGCTATGATGTTCATAATACATAGTGGCTTTCAGTGTTAGGAAGTTTCATTTCATTGTATTTTTTGCCAAATTGAAGCAAACATTGTGAGTTGTTCTAAAGTGGCCTTTGTGGTTTCCTATCCCTTTTCCAGTAGGCCTTTGACTTTAAGCATCTTCCCTTCCTTGACCAAGCAGGTGTTCAAAACTTTAACTCTAGCTCTTCCTCTGTTCATTTCTCAAAATACAGTCCATTCAGTTAATCTCCCCTAAGGGATTAAGAGAATAATCTGATTAAACCAGCTCACAAGTTTTTGCCTTTTGACTGAGGAAAAAAATATGCAAGTATTTTAACTGACCTGATGAAATAACATATGAAATGCTTAAAATAAGAATCCTTGACCTTTCCCTGACATGGAAGGTAAGGTTCTATTGTGCAGATGTGAAAAATACTAAGAATTAATATTATCAAAGTATAAAGTGCACAATGTGGCCCAGGCATGTAGATTTCACAGAGAAACTTTCTTAATTAAGTAGCTGTGGTGTGAGCTAAACCATGAGCCCCTGGTTACTTGAGGCCTGAGGAAGAAAATGGTTTCTTATCCAAGGAAGTATGTGTTAAAATGAAATAGAAAAAAGAAAGAAAAATTACTCGTAAAATAGCCATTCTCACTGGGCCCACGCCTGCAGGAGGGCAGCCAGCTGGAGCTGGATCAGAGAGAAGGGGGTAGGTCCTTGAAAATTTTTGAGAAGGGGTTAGAAACTCAACTTTTCCTGATAGGTCTAGAGATAACTCTGATATGAATACTATTAACCTCATTGAAAGAACATACCATGAAATCGGGTCCTAGGAGTCTCTGCAAAACTCGTTAGATTATTAACAGCCAACTTTGGGCAAGATGACAGTGAATGAATAATGTGTTACTCAAAGGAGCTTAGCTTCTAATCTTTTGATTGTATTTTGCTAATCACTATTTATAAGAACTAATATTATTGAACTTCTAATAAGATTCTGGAATGAATAGAGACTTTCTGGCAAGGGTCTCTTTGCACCTAATCATGGTGTGATGCTATAGTTTGAATGTGTTCCCCAAGTTCATGTGTTGAAAATTAATCCTCAATGCAACATTGTTGAGAGGTGTGACCTTTAAGAGTTGATTAGGAGATGAATGCCATTATCGTGGAAGTGAGTGAGTTATCACGGGAGTGGGTTCCTGACAAAAGGATGAGTTAGGGCCCCTTCTCTCCTGCCATGGGATGATATAACAAGAAGGCTCCTGCCAGTTGCTGGCACCTGATATTGGACTTCCAGCCTCTATAACTATGATAAATAAATTTCTTTATAAATTACCCAGTCTGTAGTATCCTGTTATAGCAACATATGGGATGTTGAAGTATGATTAATATAGTGACTGGTCAAGAAGACCCAGGATATCCAGTAACATCTACATCCTGCCTTTAACTGCTCAGTTTTCTTGCTAGGTCTCTAGATTTAAAAAATATGTATGGAAAAAAAAAAAAAAAAAAAAAAAAAAAAAAAAAAAAAAAAAAAAAAAAAAAAAAAAAAAAAACAAGGCATAATAAGACTTGATTACTAGCTGGGCTTTGTCCCAAAACCTCAATGAAGAACTCTAATTTAACCAGCTATAGCTATGAAAAATTCCATTGTCTAAGCCATGACAGCGAAAAGGCCTATTTTATCTTCTACAATCAAGCTTGGCTATCCCTATCCACAAGAAGCAGGCAGAGACTTGGCCCTAATACTTAGAAAGGGGCTGGTTTGGTGTGTGCACCTCATTGTCAAAAGAGGCCACACCACCACCTTTTAGTCTCCCTGAAAGCTTTACCTTTGTTTAGCTCTATCAGGAAAGAAGCCTAGAATCCCTTGATTCCATCTTAGTCTAGCAATGGAGACAGTCTTCACTGCAGAGTGGCTTGGAGAGTCCCAGTGTTCAGTAATGCTCCAGAAACATCTGTCTTTATGTGTCCAACATCTATCCAACATCTAGGAGAGGGTGCTACTTGTCAGTTAGGGGGTTCCTGAAATACCCTGGCCTCAAAATTTTTGATTAGAGAAGTGGTAAGGCCTACCTGCATGCAGCTGTTTGGGCTCAGCTCTAGGGGCTCTCTTACAGAGCAGCTTTGTTTTGCATTTAGATCCTTTGGTGGAGCTAGAAATGCAGAGTCTATGTAGACCCTTCAAAACTCAAGCCCTTGATGATCTCTAATCCCTTACCTATGCTCAGTCTTTAACCAGGGCCAGTGTGGCTCCCTCAACTGCAGAGCATTTATCTTGTCTGGGTGAAACAGAACCTTTGGCAGGTGGGATAAAGGAGATTTTTCTGGCTTGGGAAGAAGCTCAATGACTTTGAATCACAAAGCAATGCACTCCACATGCTTGATTCCATTTTGACCATGAAAACAATATACGATGCAGCCCTTAAAATCCAATTATAGCCATCAGAAGAGACTGTTTTATATATAAATTCCCTCATACTCAATGGAATCGGAAACTACTGCACCAGCTTTGGAAATCAAAGAGGTCTGCTCAGCTCACCCATTTTGAACCAGAGGAGCAGCAAACTTTTGGTCAATGAGCAAATTGGCTCTAGCTCTTCTGCAGGAGAGTTTCCAGCAAAAGATACAGCTGGCATTCTAACCAACCCCAGAGTCAGAAGGGTTTCCAGGAAGTGACCCTAGAAGCACCATGTGGATGCAAGATAAAGACTCCTTTATTTCAAGGAGGAATAAGTAACAACTATGATCAGAAAACATGACAAAAAACTTTAGTTGTTTGTATCTGAAGCAGTTGTGACAGCTAGCCATTCAACTTATGGCCCTCTGTGGGGAAAGGCAACAGGGTAAAAGGAGTAGGAGAGAGGAAGAAAGACCTTCACAATGGCCCCTACAACCCAGGAGGGCCTGAACCACAGAGAACCTGAAGAATCACTAATTGTATAGTTAGCAAAAAGGCTAACCCAAGAACAGAAAACCAAATACTACATGTTCTCACTTATAAGTGGGAACGAAATGATGACAGTGCATAGACATATGGGTGGGAACAACACACACTGGGGCCTGTCAGAGGGTGGACGGTAGGAGGAGGGAGAGAATCAGGAAGAATAACTAGCGAATACTGGGCCTAATACCTGGGTGATGGAATGATCTGTGCAGCAAACCACCATGGCCCACGTTTACCTATGTAACAAACCTGTATATCTTATACATGTATTCCTGAACCTAAAATAAAAGTTGGAAATATTTTTTTAAAAAAGGGACCTTTCTGATATTTTTTTGTCTGTAGCCAAAAAACTTCCATCTAGAGAAATCATAGAGAAAGTCTTAGTGGGCTTCAGAGCCCCAAATAACAGTATGAAGATTCCTTGAAGGCCTTCTTTAGCAGTTGCTAGATGGGTCAACTCAGGCAGTTCCTACTGCTCAGGCATTCTAGGAGATCTGTGTTGCTAAAAAAATAAAACTCTTATCAGAGTTCTCTCCAGCTCATGGAAAGGTTCAAACCCTTTTGATCTGGAGCTGTTGACTTTTATTATCGGTATGAACAAGTAATGTTATTTAACAGTTATTATTTGCCACATACTGTGATAAATCCTATTTTACATATATAATCCTCACAAATACTCTTTATCATAAAAATGGATAAGGAAACTGGTTTAAACAGGTTAAATAAGGTGTCCAGTTACACAAATAAGGAGAGCCATACTTTGTACCTAGGTCTTAATCATACTGTGCTGCTCTTTGCCTTTAGATTACATTCACAAGCTTTTTAAAAGCTCTGACATTCAAGGGATGTGATTGGTAACGGTAGACACATGCTCTGTTTTGCCCATCTGATGCACAATAAGAGAGGCTGTGGATTACGAGCAGTCCGTGGTGGTGGCTCCAACATTCCCCTTTTTTTTTTTTTTTTTGCCTACTCAAGAGATTAGAAGGAAAGGTGAGCAAGAGATTAGAAGGAAAGGTGAGCAAGGGCACATAATGTTACTACAGGGCTAACCCGGAATCTCTTTTAATTTATAAAAAGCAAAAGTCACTAACAAACTTCAGTACAGTGTTATTATTAACCACCTAATATGATACATTACTACTGTGACATATCAGGTTTGAAAATCACTGTTCTATACTGATCCAAAGAAACCTCTCTCACCAGGTTAAATGAGTAATGATCACTAACCATTGCAGCAGACTGGTTGAATTCCCAAATCATTGCATACAAGGTCTCACAGTCATGTAGGCCAAAACAGGATGGAATGCAGTCAAAGGATTCCAAATGTGCTCTATGGAATTTAGAACATGCAGTGATTCCTAAGAATACATTTTCTTTTCAATATTTCCTAGCTCCTATGTGCTGATCATACTACAGCATCAAGCTATTAAGAGAGAAAGGGAAGGGGCAGAAGAGAGAGAGAGAGATGTTTCTGGTAGAAATACAGTTTCTACATTTTTTCTTATTTAATTATTTATTATTATACTTTAGATTCTGGAGTACATATGCAGATCACGAAGGATTGTTGCAAAGGTACATACATGGCAAAGTGGTTTGCTGCCTTCATCCCCCCCATCATCTATATCTGGTATTTCTCCCCTCATTATCCCCCACTACCCTCCTCACCCCCTGCTGTCCGCTTCCATAGCCCCCTCCACTGACTGTGGTATGTGATGCTCCCCTCTGTGTCCATGTGTTCTCATTGTTCAACATTCACCTTTGAATGATGACATGCAGTGTTTGGTTTTCTGTTCTTGTGTCAGTTTGCTGAGAATGATGGTTTCCAGATTCATCCACGTCCCTATGAAGGACACAAACTCATCATTTTTTATGGCTGCATAGTATTCCATGATGTATATGTGCCACATTTTCTTTACCTAGTCTATCAATGATGGACATTTAGGTTGGCTCCAGGTCTTTGCTATTGTAAACAGCGCCACAATGAGCATATGTGTGCAT